AGGGTGACGCCCCTCCTTGGTCAGGGTGAAGCCCCTCCTTCTTCAAGGTGACGCCCCTCCCACATCACATGGCACATCAGGAATTTATTTTGTTTTTATAAAAAGGTTTAATAATCGCTTCCAACAATGAAATGCAAGAAGATTGAACGCCAAAGATTGTCAGTTCGGTTCTGGGTGGAGTCTGGGCCGCCTGGATTCCTGGTCCATCATTTCATGATCTCCCCTGACGTACTGACCATGGGAAGGACATGGAATGTGTTGGTTGTCATGTTGGTGGAATGTGTCGGTTGTCGTGTTGGTGGATTGTGTTGGTTGTCATGTTGTGGAATGGGTGGATTGTGTGGTGGAAGGTGGTGGTTGTGTTTGGTGGAATGTGGTGGTTGTCGTGTTGGTGGAATGTGGTGGTTGTCGTATTGGTGGAATGTGTGGTGGTGGTTGTCGTATTGGTGGATTGTGTGTGGATGTGGTTTGTCCTGTTGGTGGAATTTGGTGGTTGTCGTATTGGTGGAATGTGGTGGTTGTCGTATTGGTGGATTGTGTGGTTGTCGTATTGGTGGAATTTGGCGGTTGGCTTATTGCAGGAATGTGGCGGTTGTCGTATTGGTGGAATGTGGTGGTTGTCGTATTGGTGGAATGTGGTGGTTGTCGTATTGGTGGAATGTGATGGTTGTCGTATTGGTGGAATGTGATGGTTGTCGTATTGTGGAATGTGTTGGTTGTCGTATTGGTGGAATGGTGGTGGTTGTCGTATTGGTGGAATGGTGGTTGTCGTATTGGCGGAATGTGGTGGTTGTCGTATTGGTGGAATGTGGTGGTTGTCGTATTGGTGGAATGTGATGGTTGTCGTATTGGTGGAATGTGATGGTTGTCGTATTAGTGGAATGTGTTGGTTGTCGTATTGGTGGAAGGTGGTGGTTGTCGTATTAGTGGAATGTGGGGGTTGTCGTGTTGGTGGAATGGTGGTGGTTGTCGTATTGGGGGATGTGGTGGTTGTCGTATTGTGGAATGTGTTGGTTGTCGTATTGGTGGAAGGTGGTGGTTGTCGTATTGGTGGAATGTGGTGGTTGTCGTATTGGTGGAATGTGGTGGTTGTCGTATTGGTGGAATGTGTTGGTTGTCGTATTGGTGGAATGTGTTGGTTGTCGTATTGGTGGAATGTGGTGGTTGTCGTATTGGTGGATTGTGTTGGTTGTCGTATTTCTTTCCTGTTTATTACATTTGTCATGTTTATCCCATCATGCCGAGTGGCAGTTGTGCAGCAGAAACGATCCCTCCCCCCCCCCCCCCCCGGGGGTTACAGTGACATTAACCAAACAGGAAAACAAGAATGTACACAAATGTATCAATATATCTACAGAAACAAAACCCGCCGGCGAGTATTCATTATGTTTATATATTTTTTTTTTAATTTTATTTAAATAATTATAAAAGTAATGGTTTTATGCCCGGGGCGTGGCTTCTGTTTCGCGTGACCTCTGGGATTGGCTGTCAGTGGGGGGTAACACAATCGGGAGACTTGATGGAGCGCTGCAGCAAGCGCCCGGCGCCGTCACCCAAATATCCCACTAAGAAGGGGGTTGGTAGAAAGGCATCCCATCCAGGGTGCGCCGTAATCCAATAATAAGTCACCGCCACACGCCGATCCACTCCGACTCTACGGAAAGTAAAGTGTGACCTCAGCTCCTCCCCATAGCCCTGACGCGTTTCGCCCCATGACTGCCCTCTATGACTAAGCCCCGCCCCAGTGGGTGGGGAAAATAATTAATTATTAATATTAAATGTAATATTTAAATTATCTGTGGCCGCAGGTTATATCAAGAATTACACTATTGCTAAAGGAGTTAATTGCTCAACATATTATTAGCAATTTATATAATATTATTATTTATTCATATAATATATAAATTATTAATAATACACTAAGCAATAAGTAAATAAATAGTATAAATACATAAGTAAATAAATGTTAATAAAAAAACGCAGGTTTGCCACGTTTTTTTTTTTTTTTAACAAAAGAAAATTAAAATTTTGGCTCAAAAACACAGGTTTGCCGTTTTTTTTTTTAACAAAAGAAAATTAAAATTAAAATTTTGGCTCAAAAACGCAGGTTTTCTGCGGTTTTATTTTCCTACAAAAGAAAATAAACATTTTTTTTTTTTTTTTTTTTTTTACAAAAGAAAATTAAATTTCAAATTGTGGCTCAAAAATACAGGTTTTCCATGTTCTTTTTTTTTTAGAAAAGAAAATAAAATTTGGGCTAAAAAAGTCAGGTTTTCAGTGTTTTTTTTTTTTTTTTTTACCAGCATTAGAGCGTTTTTATAGCTAAAAAAAAAACCCTCCTCTTGAAACCCTCCAGTTCTTTTTTTTTTCTAGCCAAAAAATGCTGATTAAAGCCTATGTGCGCACGGACAGCTAGGATAACATGCTGGGGGGGGGGGGGGGGGTTACTGGCTGTAGAAAAAAAACGCCTAACGCCGAAAACCGCCGCTGTAAAATCGGCCGGCGCACGTGACGCCTAATAGGCGAGGTAGGCTGATGCGTTCCAGGCGTTCATGGATTGATAGAAAATGCTGATACTGGAATAATGGGGTATCTATTTAGAATACCGCCCCCCTGCCCCCATCCCCCCCCCCCGGGTGGTAAGTGCGCTTTTCTCCTATTCTCGTCGATAGAAGTCGATTTTTGCAATCGATATTTTCCTCGTCAGTCCCGAGGTTCAGGTTTTTCGGCTCTTTTCCGGCGGATTCTGCACTCCTCCCCACAGAAGTGAGGTTTGTTCTCATCTGTCTGTCTTGCTGCTCTTTGAATCCTGGAATGACGCCCCCCCCATGGCAGGTCATGGGTTCAGGTGAGAGGTCGCCGGCGCCCCCCCACTGCCAAGCAAATCGTCTCCTGACAGCTGCTATCACACACGGGAGGGGGGGGGGGGTGATTGTCCGGGTATTGATGGGCCCACAATGTGATCCTAACGTGACGAGAGTGATGAACAACACGCCTCACCATCATAGTCATCATGGGGGGGTATGAAGACCTCCTAAAAATGTCATCGATGGACATTGAATGTGGGGATCCAGATTTGTCAGAAAATGTTCGATCCTCTGTCGGTGACGTATTGACGGTGCAAAGATTTCGGCAAAGTTGCAGGTTTCTGCCTTTCTCTGCTGTCTTCCTCAAACCGATAGGAGGATGTTCCTTCACTGCAGTCACCTGCGGTCACCTGAGCAACCTCAACGTGAGAAGGCCTCATACACACCGGGCGCCTTTACAGATGCTGGTTATGGCATTTTTTTCTACAGCCAGTAACCCTCCCCCCTCCCCCCAGTATGTTATCCTGGTGAATAGGCATACCTAACGTCTTCACATTTTCCAACTACATACTACTAGTTTATGATCAACCCTAGACTGCAGGACATCACCATCGTCACCACCATCGTCACCATCATCATCACCATCATCGTCACCACCATTGTCACCACCATTGTCACCACCATCATCACCACCATTGTCACCATCGTCACCATCATCGTCACCATCATCGTCACCACCATCGTCACCACCATCGTCACCACCATCGTCACCACCATCGTCACCACCATCGTCACCACCATTGTCACCACCATCATTACCATCATGGTCACCACCATCATTACCATCATGGTCACCACCATTGTCACCACCATCATCACCACCATCGTCACCACCATCATCACCACCATGTCACCATCCTCACCACCATCATCACCACCATCATCACCACCATGGTCACCACCACCACCATCACCACCATCATCACCACCATCGTCACCACCATTGTCACCACCATCGTCACCACCATTGTCACCACCATCATCATCACCACCATGGTCACCACCATGGTCACCACCATCGTCACCACCACCATTGTCACCATCACGTTATATCTGCAGTATAAAGTAAAATACACTATATTGCCCCAAGTATCGGGCCGCTGCCCTTTCCACGCACATGACCTTTAATGGCCCCTCAGTCTTAGTCCGTAGGGTCCAATGTTGAGTTGGCCCCGCCCTTTCCACACACATGACCTTTAATGGCCCCCCAGTCTTAGCCCATAGGGTTCAATATTGAGTTGGCCCATAGGGTTCAATATTGAGTTGGCCCACCCTTTCCACACACATGACCTTTAATGGCCCCCAAGTCATAGTCCGTAGGGTTCAATATTGAGTTGGCCCTGCCCTTTCCACACACATGACCTTTAATGTCCTCCCAGTTTTAGTCCGTAGGGTTCAATATTGAGTTGGCTCCGCCCTTTCCACGCACATGACCTTTAATGGCCCCCCAGTCTTAGTCCGCAGGGTTCAATATTGAGTTGGCCCCGCCCTTTGCACCTATAACAGCTTCAACTCTTCTGGGAAGGCCGTCCACAAGGTTTAGGAGGGTGTCTATGGGAAGGTTGGACCATTCTTCCAGAAGCACATTTGTCAGGTCAGGCACTGATGTCGGGGGAGGGGGCCTGGCTCGCAGTCTCCACTCTAATTCATCCCAAAGGTGTTCTATGGGGTTGAGGTCAGGACTCTGTGCAGGACAGTCAAGTTCCTCCACCCCAAACTGGCTCCTCCATGTCTTTATGGACCTTGCTTTGTGCACTGGGGGGCAGTCATGTTGGAACAGGAAGGGGCCATCCCCAAACTCCTCCCACAAAGTTGGGAGCATGAAATTGTCCAAAATGTCGCCTTAAGAGTTTCCTTCACTGGAACTAGGGGGCCAAGCCCAACCCCTGAAAAACACCCCCGCACCATAATCCCCCCTCCACCAAACTTTACACTTGGCACAATGCAGTCAGGCAAGTACCGTTCTCCTGGCCACCGCCAAACCCAGACATGTCCATCAGATTACCAGAGAAGCGTGATTGGTCACTCCAGAGAACACGCCTCCTCTGCTATAGAGTCCAGTGGCGGCGTGCTTTACACCATCCGACGCTTTGCATTGCACTTGGTGATGGAAGGCTTGGATGCAGCTGCTCGGCCATGGAAACCCATTCCATGAAGCTCTCTACGCACTGTTGTTGGGCTCATCTGAAGGCCACACCAAGTTTGGAGGTCTTTAGCTATTGACTCTGCAGACAGTTGGCGACTTCTGTGCATGCGCTGACCCCGCCCTGTCATGTGACGTGGCCTACCACTTGGTGGCTGAGTGGCTGTTGTTCCCAGTTGCTTCCACTTTGTTATAATCCCACTAACAGTTGAGCGTGGAATATTTAGTAGCCAGGAAATGTCATGGATGGATTTATTGCCCAGGTGACCACCTATCACGGGACCACGCTTGGAGTCACTGAGCTCCTGAGAGCGACCCATTCTTTCACCAATGTTTGTAGAAGCCGTCTGCATGCCTAGGGGTGTGATTGTATACACCTGTGTGCATGGAGGGGATTGGAACACCTGAATCACATGATATGGAGGGGATTGGAACACCTGAATCACATGATATGGAGGGGATTGGGACACCTGAATCACATGATATGGAGGGGATTGGGACACCTGAATCACATGATTGGGAGGGGATTGGAACACCTGAATCACATGATTGGGAGGGGATTGGAACACCTGAATCACATGATTGGGAGGGGATTGGAACACCTGAATCACATGATATGGAGGGGATTGGAACACCTGAATCACATGACTGGGAGGGGATTGGAACACCTGAATCACATGATATGGAGGGGATTGGAACACCTGAATCACGTGATTGGGAGGGGATTAGAACACATGAATCACATGATTGGGGGGGGGGTGGTAATACTTTTGGCAATGTAGGGTATTTTTGATACATGTTAGGAGCGGATCTATGAATTTGTGGAATAATATTAGAAGTGGGACATTTGTTGTGTAGAATGATAATTATAAATGATGGGAAGCCGTCTGCGGGATGACGTGACTCGGTAATAGATGTACAGATCTGTGGCTCTCGGTTATGAGTGTAGACGGGTTTTGGCGTTTTCTTGTATCTCTCGCACTGATTATGTGGAGATCTTTTTGCTCATAACGGGTGAACTAAGACACCAGATCCTGCAGCCCAGCAATGTCCTTGATGTGTCCCCGGCGTCCCCTTTCCACGTTGGGCCCTCAACGACGTCACATCTCACAAGAGACTTTTAAAATGAAGTTAGTTCTGTCGGCGATCCATCAAGTCTGCATCTCTCGATGTATACTGACCTTCCGTAATATCCAGATACAGGATCCAGCCTCAGATGGGGGAAGATGGGGGTGGGGGGTCCTCACTGACCTCACTGATCTTTTAGGTCCAGATATTTGTAAGATTGAAGTGCGGAAGGTTTGAAGTGGAAGTAAAGGAGCGCCAGACCAAAGCCGGGTGAACACGCCTAGATCATTGTAATTGTTTGTAAAAAAAAAAAAAAATGCGTTTCGGGGGGCAACATCCCCCTTCATCATGAAACACGGTCCTAACGATGAAAAATGATGAGTAGATATACACAGGAGCTTCAGCTGTCGCATTGGAATTATGGAATGGTAAAAGAAGCGCAATACATAGTAAGACATCCGATAGAAATGTATATTGTTTGTATCTTTTTGTCAGGACCCGTGTCTGAACCTGCGACCTCTGCTGTGTCTGGTGGCATCACTTCTTGCTGAGCCACTGGACAGCTACCAAGACAATTCCTTGAATGTTCTTGCCTTGAACTTTTGTTTCCCTTGAACCCTTTGCTCCTCCCATGAACTATTTAAGCCACTTCCTGTTTGCCAGATTATTGTGCTCTCTCCAGCCAAATTCTTGATCTTGTCACTCCTGCTGCCATCCGTATCTCTGCTACCACTCATTACTGACCTTTGGTTGTTCCTTGACTACGCTTCTGCTTCATCCCAACCTGCAACCACTTGTTACCGACCTTTGTCTTGTTCCTCAACTTTGCTTCTGCTTGATCCCAACCCACAACCACTTTTTACTGAACTTTGGCTTGTTCCTCGACTGAGCTTCAGCTTGATCCCAACCTGCAACCACTTGTTACCAACCTTTGGTATATTGACCTTCCGTATTATCCAGATACAGGAGCCGGCCTCAGATGGGGGAAGATGGGGGGGGTCCTCACTGACCTCGCTGATCTTTTAGGTCCACATTTTTGTAACATTGAGGTGCAGAAAGTTTGAAGTGGAAGTAAAGTAGCGCCAGACCAAAGTCGGATGAACACGCCAATACATTTTTATTGTTTGTAAAACTTGTTACCGACCTTTGGCTTGTTCCTTGACTGAGCTTCTGCTTGAACCCAACCTGTGACCACTTGTTACCGACCTTTGGCTTGTTCCTTGACTGAGCTTCTGCTTGAACCCAACCTGTGACCACTTGTTACCGACCTTTGGCTTGTTCCTTGACTGAGCTTCTGCTTGAACCCAACCTGTGACCACTTGTTACCGACCTTTGGCTTGTTCCTTGACTGAGCTTCTGCTTGAACCCAACCTGTGACCACTTGTTACCGACCTTTGGCTTGTTCCTTGACTGAGCTTCTGCTTGAACCCAACCTGTGACCACTTGTTACCGACCTTTGGCTTGTTCCTTGACTGAGCTTCTGCTTGAACCCAACCTGTGACCACTTGTTACCGACCTTTGGCTTGTTCCTTGACTGAGCTTCTGCTTGAACCCAACCTGTGACCACTTGTTACCGACCTTTGGCTTGTTCCTTGACTGAGCTTCTGCTTAAAAACCCAACCTGTGACCACTTGTTACCGACCTTTGCCTTGTTTACTGACTACACTTCTGCTTGAACCCTACCTGCTATATCTGCTACTGGACCCCGGCTTGCTCATCTCCTGGTGGGGCAATCGAGAGGACCACAGTCTGGTACTAACACGGAGCAAAACCCATCCCCACCATCAGCTCTGGTGAATACTGGTTAGCATTTAGACCCTTCTCCACGCCATCCACCAGGGTGACCTGCTTGTGTGCTTCTCTTGCTGGTCAATGGGAGCCTCTCTGCTGGTCTCCAAACCGTGATACTTTTAACCATTCTATAATTCAATTGGTCCAACTGAAGTTCATGGGACAAGTTTGTTGTTATCATGGGGTGTTCTTGTTATCATGGGGTGTTCTTTTTATTATGGGGTGTTCTTGTTATCATGGGGTGTTCTTTTTTATTATGGGGTGTTCTTGTACTATGGGGTGTTCTTGTAGTATATACTATGCAATGTTCTAGGTCAGGGGTCCGGGCACATATGATTGGATAGTGGATCTGATCATTGCTGGTTCCCTAAGATAGGTGGCACCAGCAATTTTCTTCTAGAACTCCTCATCACCTCCTTACCAGATTTCTAGCTGGGTGAGTCTCTGGGGCAGGGGTGTATTTAGGTTTTGTGCTGCCCTAGGCAACACACAAATTGCCCCCCCCCCCCCCCGCAGAGAGAGACTGACATTGACCAACAATACCCCAGCCCCCCACCCAAGAGAGCCTTCCACTACCACTGTCCCCCCATACACCAGCCACCATCCCCATGGTGAGAGAGAGACACTAATCTTCACCCCGGGAAGGAGAGTTGGGCTGTTCCTAAATGTCATGAAACCCGCAGCCTCTCTTAGAACCTAACAGGTCCCCATGCCACGTGTGTCCCTTCTTCCATCCCTTCTTCCAAGGGGCAGTGCTGCCCCCCCTGAAAAATGCCTCCCTAGGCAAATGCTTTGTGGTAATTACACCCCCGCTCTGGTGTTCGTGGTCCCACCAGCCGATCCTCAGAGCGAGGAGCAGTCGGGCCCCGTGTGCACAGCAGGACATCAGTCTAGGACTGCAGCTTGCCTAAGACGTCCCCCAGAGAATTCTTCTATTGATTTTTATGACGGCTGCCATGATAAGGTCATTATCCCGGGTCCTCCTTGTCTTTCCCGTCCGCCCTGTTGGCCCCGGCTGGCCGGCTTTGGTTGTCCATTGTGTCAGATGGATTCTTAAGCAGCCCACAGACGTTTTTTTTTTTTTAAAAAGTCGTAAATCGGTCGTTCAGACGGCTGACGTTGCCACTAATTTAAAAAAAAAAGTCGTCGGGTTTTAGTCCCGTCTGCGGCCGTCAATTAATATAATAGCGGAGTCCCTGCAGAGAGATCATCTATTATATCTGACAGAAGAAGAAGAAGAGGAACAACATTGTATCTATTTGTATCCGAATAGAAACATCTGTATCCGAAATGCACACAAATAGATACATTGTTGCAGCTTTTTCCTTCTCGTCTTCTTCTGCTGCAAATCTATTTCATCTTCTCCTCTTTTCTTCTATTCTTTTACTTGATATTCTATTTCTTCTTCTCCTGAAAAATCTATTACTTCTTTTTCTTCATAGTCAATTTATTGTCAAATCGGCCAGAAGAACGACCTATTTGACCATAAATTACCGCGAAAATCGCCCGATCTAACAAATCGTCTCAGGATTTTCCACCTTGGACGATTTACAAAATCTCTTAAAATTAAGAAAAACGGCCGACATTTTCCCCAATAACGGTACAGATATCGGACGATTTTTTTTATCGGCCGATAATTCGGCAAGAAAATCGGAAATCTATGGCCACCTTTAATGATCTAGGCTTGTCCAGTCTGCCTTATGAGTTCCCAGCTCAGTCCGGCCCCCCTCAGTCCCCGGCTGCCGGCCATCCTCATCCTCCATTCAGATTCGTTCCCCCTTCTTATCGATGATTTCCACCTTCCTGGGATCTAAAGATCGACGTTCTCATCTTCCGAATTAACGGCAAATATTATGTCCATCACATATGTCCTGCACAAGGAAAAGGGGAAAAGATCCGCTCCGCGGTTTTATTATTTTTTAGGATTTTATTTTATTTTTTAGGATTTTTTTTAAGAGGAATATATTTTGAATATCTTTTTCTTTTCCAATTTTGCTAGCTATAAAAAGGATGTTTTTTTTTTTTAGAATTTTTTTTATTGTTTAGATTTATTTTTTTTAGGATATATTTAAAGAGGTTTATATTTTGAGTGTGCTTATCTTTTGTTCCAATTTTGATAGCTAAAAATAAGGATTTTTTTATATTTTTTTAGGATTTTTTTTTTTTTTTTAGGATTTTTTTTGGGGGGGATTTTTTCTAAGAGGCATATATTTTGAGTGTGCTTTTCTTTTGTTCCAATTTTGATAGCTATAAATAAATATGTTTTTTATTATTTATTTAGGATTTTTTATTTTAGGATTTTGTATTGTTTAGATTTTTGTTGTTCCAATTTTGTTAGCTAAAAAATAAGGATTTATTTGAATTTTTTTTAGGATTTTTTTATTGTTTAGATTTTTTTTTTAGGATTTATTTAAAGAGGTATATATTTTGAGTGTGCGTATCTTATGTTCCAATTTTGATAGCTATAAATAAGGATGTTTTATTATTTTTTTTAGGATTTTTTATTGTTTAGATTTTTTTTTGTTCCAAATTTGTTAGCTAAAAATAAGGATTTATTTGAATTTGTTTAGGATTTTTTTTTGGGGGGTAGGGGGGTTTAAGAGGCATATATTTTGAGTGTGCTTATCTTTTGTTCCAATTTTGATAGCTAAAAATAAGGATGTTTTATTATTTGTTTAGGATTTCTTTATTGTTTAGATTTTTTTTTAGGATTTTTTTTTAAGAGGCATATATGTTGAATGTTTTCTTCTTTTACTCCAATTTTGATAGCTATAAATAAGGATGTTTTATTATTTTTTTAGGATTTTTTCTTTTAGGATTTTTTTTTAGGATTTCTTTTAAGATG